TTCGCCGATGACACGACCGTGGTGGGTCTCATCAGCAAGAACGACGAGTCAGCATACAGAGAGGAGGTGCAGCGGCTAACGGACTGGTGCAGAGCCAACAACCTGTCCCTGAATGTGGACAAAACTAAAGAGATGGTTGTTGACTTCAGAAGAGCACAGAGTGACCACTCTCCGCTGAACATCGGCGGCTCCTCCGTGGAGATCGTCAAGAGCACCAAGTTTCTCAGTGTTCACCTGGCGGAGAACCTCACCTGGTCGCTCAACACCAGTTCCATAACGAAGAAAGCCCAGCAGCGCCTGTACTTTCTGCGAAGGCTGAGGAAAGAACATCTCCCACCCTCCATCCTCACCATGTTCTACAGAGGGACTATCAAGAGCATCCTGTGCAGCTGCATCACTGCCTGGATTGGGAATTGCACTGTCTCAGATCGCAAGACCCTGCAGCGGATAGTGAGGACAGCTGAGAAGATCAACGGGGTCTCTCTTCCCTCCATCACGGACATTTACACCTCACTCTGCATCCGCAAAGCCACCAGCATTGTGGATGACCCCACACACCCCTCTCACACACTCTTCTCCCTCCTGCCGTCTGGTAAACGGTACCGGAGCATTCGGGCCCTCACGACCAGACTGTGCAATAGCAATCTTCCCTCATGCCATCAGACTCCTCAATACCTAGAACTGGACTGAAGGAAGGAACACACACACACATACATATATACACACACACACAACTGAACATCCTCCATCCTCTATGCACAAGTTTTACACATGTTTTGCACATGTTTTATGCTGCTGCTACTATTATGTTTACACATAATATAATACTATTATATTTACACTATTCCAGCTATTTATATTGAACTCTGTAATATTTGCACTATTGTCACTTGGTCACTTTTAAACAGAACTGCGTACTGGTCGGCGCTGTAGTCATTGTACTCTCTTGTTCTGTCTTGTGCTGTCTGCACATGTTTGCACTTGTGCACTTTGTTTAATTTATGTAGTCCCTGTAGTTCTGTGTTGTTCTGTGTTTGTCTTATGTAGCACCTTGGTCCTGGAGAAACGCTGTTTCGTTTCACTATGCACTTGTATACGGCTGAAATGACAATAAACTCCACTTGACACTTGACACTTGATTGTGACTCTCACATTTATTGAATAGTAGTCACTTCATGTTAGCTAACTACCTAAGATTTAAGTTCTAGCTGAAGAGGAAATGGTTGCTCTGCTGTAATCTCACAATGCTTTGCTGACACAATGCAGAGCTTGGGGCAGGAGAGTAACTCATAATCCCTCACACAAGTATTTTGTTTGGCTGTTTGACTCGTTGCTCTTGTAGTTATCGAAAGGGAAACACAAATGTTACAGTTCTTCAAATGTGTTTATTTTTATTAGCTATAACAATCAGGCTAGTGATCTGAGAATAAGGCAGTGATCATGGATCACTTGGATTCAGATTTGGATCCAAATACCGAAGCAGACCATGATCAAGGTTACACGCAGATTCTGTAATTCTGTTAGTATTCCACTACTGAAACTACTACAGTTCCTTTGCTATCTTAGGCCTCTTAGCAGCTAATCAGATAGCAAAGCAGTCTGTACCGATTATAAAGGATGTGCTCAAGTAAATGGCAGGGGGATCTGTGGAGACACAGGCTTGGTTCCTGTGTAAGTACAGGGTAACATCTCTCCACCTCTATCATCAAAAGCATTGTTAATGGGCAGGAAGCTAAAGTCCCATCTGGACCAAGCCTCTCTGTAAAGAGAGTTCAGGAAGCCCAAAAATTAATTTACAACCATTAAGTTAAGACTATGCATACATAGAATTTCTCTTATCATTTTCGAGCGCTTTGCAAATTTAACCACCATTTCACATTTTGTTCCTATTTCCACCATGGGGTGAGCCATGCTGTAACTGATTACCTATGCTGATTTTGGTTATCATTTTGCAAGCTTACCATGTATGGTGGAACTTGAATTAGTGATTAGTGAATTAGTGAACTTGAATTGATTGTTAAAATGCATAACCCCAGAATCATCTTGATAATGATACAGTAATGGGTAGAATTGCTTTTTTAATGGCGCAACAATCATAGTACAGTGTTAGCCTGCCAAAGATTCTTAATCTTTTCAAAAGTCCAAGTTCTGTTGAGTTTCAAAGATAATATCATAATTTTGTCATACAATTTCATTATTTACAGACAATAATGTTTTCTTGTCACTGACGTCCAAGGCATGACATCTGGGATACTGCCATGGAAAACGCATAACTACTTATGTTTTTGCTGAAGTACCATTGCTGGATAAAATTTGCTCTCAAACATTGGTGTGGTTAAAGCAGGTTATACCTAGCTCTGTTTAAGTTTCTCATCATCATTCAAACAAACTCATTCTCAGTAGCTCACCCTGTGAGGGAGACACGTGAAAACATCACACTCACCAAACATCAAACTCAGTTTCTGAATTTCTAGCAGCATTTTACTGATTCTGCCCACCTTTAGTAACAACACCAAAACCTCCAAAAAGCTCTTTCAGGGGTAGTAATATATGATGGGAAAACTACACACAGATTTGAAGAGATATGGATCCTGGGTTCAGATTACTGAGCCTTGCTATGCTGTCTGGTAGAAAAGTGCTATTTGTAAGTGAAGAGAAATGGTTTAGGTTACTGACTTCTGCTTATGGATGGTTAAGTAATTAGGCAACTTGGAAATCACTTGAGGTTTGTGGTCCAGGTAGGGGAAATCACTCAAGGTCAAACATATAGTCCTCTACGACAAACAAATGATATACCAGATCAAGTGGTTTCAAGAACATAACCAAAAGGTGATTAGCAGAACGTGGATCTGGAGTTCTCACAGTCGAGTATCTCTGAATATTCCATTTCCCATGAGCCTGCTGCTCTTGGCTATAGAAAATTATCCTTGGAGTCCTCGGAAAAAAGAAAACTCCACTTGGATTGCACTTAGTCATTGTTCAAATGGTAGTAGCGTTCCAGGTCATGGGCTTAAAATAGGTTGTCCCACAATTGCATTTCAGCTTTTGTTTTGATATTTTTAATGACAACCAATATATTTTCAGGGTAATAACCATAATAACCATCTTTGCCCTCATTCCTAACCATGCTTTTAATAAATGTTTTATGACAGCTTCGATGTGAGCCAAAAGTAATTCAGGTTATAGCTATGTTTTAGAGTAAATTATATTAAAACCATATTTGTGTTTTTGTGTAGAGTGTATATGTACACTTTGACTTATGTGTAAAGGGTGTGCGATATGTGTGCAGTGTGTAATGTGTGAGGCTAAAGGAAAATATTAAAGGGTTTGCTGTGAGTTTTTTCTTCCTTTTTTGTTGCTCCTCTGCACTTTCCATTATATTTCCTCCAGAATACCTTGGCATTCACCAGACCTGATGAACCTACCTCAACCTTTTTTTTCTTGTTTATGGCTTCAACTTTTTATAATGTCCTTGATTTATTAAAAAAACTAAACAACAAAAAAAAAAACCAAGTTATTTGTGGAAGTATGGCACTCACTTTTGGTGACATTGTCTGCATATGTAAGTCATTTACTCCCCCCACCTACAATCCCTGCCAGACCTGAGACTCAAACCCACAACCTTCAGGTTACAAGTCTGACATGCTAACCATTAGGCCACAACCGCCCCTGTATAATGCTAAACAGTATTAAAGTTAAAACTACTGATACTTTAGGAAGATATTGTTGGGAAATTCAACAGTATTCAGAAATACACATATAGATTGAGAGGGAAAGAGGAAACAGAATATTAAGCATGATATTATCCTATGGAGGTTGATCAAGTGGGCATAGCTCCTGCAGGTCTAGCTATGACAACATAACTAAAAGAGAGAGCCAGAATGTAACACAAGAATGAGGGCACCCTGGGACATAAAGAATCCCACCACACCTACAGCAACAAACCTGAGTGATCATGTGAAAGAGGATGCAACGGCATCAAACCATCCCGCTTTTCCATAACTCTCTATGTCCATGAAGCCCCAGGTCCTCACCTTTACCTAAGATTTATTTAACTAATAACTTATTTAACTTATTTAACTAATAAGTTATTGAACAATATGCCTGACTAAACAAATAGGCTTTCATTCTAGACTTAAAGATTAAGACTGTGTCTAAGTTCCGAGCACTAATTGGAAGACTATTTCATAGCTGAGGGGTTTTATAGAAAAAAATCTCTGCTCCCAGCTGTAAACTTTATTCATGTGTACTAATAAAAAAAACCTGCAACTTTTGGTCTGAGCAGACATTGCAGATCAGAATAAGCCAAGTTCGCTCAGGTATTGTGGTACAGACCATTCAGTGCTTTATAGGCCATTAGTAGTATTTTATAACTGATGTAAACATTTTACTAGAAGCCAGTTTTGTTGTGGATAGAATAGGCAGAATATGGTAAAATGTTTCGTTTCTAGTAAGACCTGGAATAACTGGAGCTTTATGCACCTCGTGGAACATCCAGACAGTAAGGCATTACAATAGTCCAAATTGTCTGATGTTAAATACATACTGCAATTTATATGTAGTATTTTAATTTTGTTGTATAAAATATTTTCAAAAGTCTTTCCTACTACATACTGTGATACACTATATGGCCAAAAGTATGTGGACACCTGACCATTATACCTGCTTGTTATATATGCTTGTTGAACAGCCCATTCCAAAGTTGGTCCCCCACCCTTTGCTGCTATAACAGCCTCTACTCTTTTGGGGAGGCTTTCCATGGAATGTGGCTGTGGGTATTTCTGCTCATTAAACAACAGGAGCATTAGCGATGTGATGTTGAGGGACGAGGCCTGATGCACAGTGTTCCAGGCAATCCCGACGGTGTTCAGTGGGGTTGCGGTTCAGGGCTCTGTGCAGGCCACTCAAGTTCTTCCACTCCAACCTTGGCAAACCATGTCTTCATGGAGCTCGCTTTGTGCACAGGAGCATAGTCATGCTGGAACAGGTTTGAACCTCTTCATTCTTCTTCCCAGTGAATGGAAACTGTAAAGCTACAGCATATAAAGACATTCTAAACAACTGTGTACTTTCAACTTTGTGGCAACGGTTTGGGGAAGAACTACATAAGGATGTGATGGTCAGGTATCCACAAACTTTTGGCCATATAGTGTATCTGTGCTTCAGTGGCTCTTATTTCTAGGTAACTCTGCTCCTGTATTGAATAAGAATATAAGAATATTTTGTATTATTCTTCTCTTAGTGTGGAGAGATAAACTAAGGTAGTGGCAATAAGAACTTTTCTATAGTTAACAATGCAATTTAAAAGACTACCAGTTTAGTTGGCACCATTTATCTACTAATCTGTTATAAAAGAGTATGATCATTATACCAGACTGCTTTCTTTTGCTCTGTAACTATGTTTCTTTTAAATGGAGCATCATTTTCATTTAATACTCTGGTTAACTGAACAGTGCATACGGTATATAACGTGCACCTTATTAGTGAACTCAGTAGATACTTTAGATAACAAAGTCCAGGTAGTGCTTAGATAGCTTACTGTTGACCGATTATGCGTTCATTATATGCTTGTAAACAACATAATACTACTATGGTGTAAGTATTTCTGGGTATGAAACCTGAATTTCTTTGAACAGTTTATCATAGGTCTTTTGATGAATTCTTTTAAGTCATATTGAGCCAGAAAACATTCCACTGACTTTCCATCATATCTACGGTTTTAACTCTGAGCAAAACCACTGATCCCCTGTGTTAAAGCAATGGAACATTATTTTCTTCATCCAAGGGATGCTTCACAAATCATATCTGGATGACACACACAATATGTGAAAAGTTGCATGAGATAGGGTTGACACAGCCCAGCCTGTGCTCTCCTTAGTAAATACCTATCCTGAGTACTCTTGAGTATATGAGTATGCGTCACTATAATAAGTAGCGCATATTTGCATTATTAGCTTAGTACATCAGTAATCATTGCTATTGCTACAGTATTCACATTTTTTCAGTAATATAGAATTAGAACTAGTTGCATACACACAAGATATAATTCTGTGGAAATATGGGTCAGTACATCAAAATGGAACTTTAAAACTTCATTTAAATTGGGCTGAACTTTTTCTAAGTACTGTATATCGTAAATATTTCAAATTCTAGCAACATACAAGTTGGATGCAATTGCAGGGTTTACTAAAACACTTGAAGCAGAAAATATTTAAGAGCAATGCAGATTCAAAATGTTAAACAGTCACAGGTCTGGCAATCAGCAAACAGACTAGATGAGATAGAGACAGAATCAATAATCAAACAAAGTAGAGACAAAACTGGGAAAACAGTTATGCACAGCAAACAGGCTCAATAATGTGACTGCAAAATACTAGCAGGATTTTGCAATGATTGAGTGAAAGTCTGTATTATTTATGGGTGTGTTTGTAACTGAGCACAGGTAAAGCTGATCAAAAAATTGGAGACTGCAATATGGATATGGATATGGACTTGACGGGGTCATGTCACTTTTTCTTTTCTTTCTTTTGGGAAAGAAAAGACAAAGTGACCAAAAGAGGCTTCAAGTAAAACAGCTGCCACCCTGAATCCTGGAAAAGATGCATATCAAATTGGACCCATAGTGGGAAACTGTCCAACTAGTCTACCAATTAGTGAGCAAGAGGGCAAAGAAAACCACCATGAAAATGTGTGTTCTAAAGCCAAAGAAACCTCAGAAACAACTGAAAACCTGGAAATGATGAAAAACAGCAACAATGATCAAATTGTCCTGAGTCTAAGTAACTACAGGATGTCAGATTTTGGAACCTCACTCACTAAATAATTTCCCCATGAGAAAGAACACAATGTCAAAGCCCTGAATGTCAAAAATCTTTGCACACAAACTGAGATTCGCCTCACTTCCAGACAGAACTGATGATAAATATTTGGTCATATGCTGCTGAAGTCCACAATGTAGCACTCTGAAATACAATATGAACGTACTGTTTTGTTGAAAAGGTTGTGTTAGTACACTTAGGTGACAGCTAAAAAGTAAAAAAAAAGATTGATATAAGTTTGATTCACTGCTATGCAATATATGACTACATATGATGAAATGCAAAATGATTCAGTCTGAATGTGTCTTGCTGTACATTATGGAGAGTCATGGCAGGGTACACCCACAACTCCCTGACCTTGGGACAGTGCCCAAGTGTTATGCAAATGTACCTCATGCAGCTGAGAACCTCTAGGCATTTTCTCTTCCCTGTGCCTTCTAGATGGGAGGAATGTGAACACCTGAGGAGTAGGGATCCTTTCTTATACTGCAGGCCTTCCTTATGCAGTGTGTAAATGAATACTAAATATGTGCATTGTACAGTTCTGTGCAAAGAAATGCTGTAGAGCAGAGATGCCTTCAAAAATAATGAAATTAGATGTTTCTACATTAAAAAAATACTATAAAGAGGACATGTTCTCCCCATGCTTCAGGGATTCCTCGGCGTACTCTGGTTTCCTTCTCCAGTCCAAAGACATGCGTTGTAGGCTGATTGGCATCTCTAAATTGTCTGCAGTGTGTGAATGGGTGTGTGAGATTGTGCCCTGTGATTAGTTGGCACCCGTCCAGGGGGTCCCCTGCCTTGTGCCCTGAGTCCCTTGGGATAGGCTCCAGGTTCCTGCCACCCTGTGCAGGATAAGCGGTACAGAAAATGGATGGTTGGAAGTTTTACTAATCATCTTGCAGAAACACCTTCTTGCAGAAACAATTCTTCTGGAGACTTTGACTGTTGCACTTGCTTCTTATTTTTGCAGCAAAACCCAGCAGCCTTCATTATTCGTTTTTTTGTCTGAAAAGCTAAATCTAAAGGAAATCTAAAAAGTTTTTGTATTGACTAGATAATGTAGAAGTCATGCAAGTCAAGAAGAATGCATAGTACTGTATATCATGTAGAATACTGATATGTGAACTACAGGATATTAATTCACTCCGAGAACAGCATGATGGATGATGCCGTAAACACCTTACCCTTCAATGCTTGTGTCTTGTATCCAGGCTTAAGATTTACACAACTAGCATGCTGAGCTGCCTCTATGGTAAGTCGATTACCTGATGTGTAGCCCAGGGTTTGTATGATTTGTGCTTAGAGTGCACAGAATAGAAAAGAAGAAGTGTGTGTGAATGCTAGTATTCCCAGAAAAGACAAACATTTGTCCTGCCTGTGACAATGTCTATTGTTAAAAGTGCTATATAAATGCAATTCCATTTAATTTTTTATATAGTGCTTTAAACAATAGACATTGTCACAAAGCAGCATTCCAGGAATAAAGATGTAGATTTAGAATCCTAATGTGCAAGCCAGAAGCAACAGTTGCAAGGAAAATCCCTGAGATGACATGAGAAAGAAACCTTGAGAGAAGGAACCAGAATCAAAAGGGAACCCATCCTCATCTGAGTGACACCAGACAGTTGGATTATAAATCTTTATAATATACACCGATCAGCCGTAACATTAAAACCACCTGCTTAATATTGTGTAGGTCCCCCTTTTGCCGCCAAAACAGCTCTGACCTGTCATGGCATGGACTCCACAAGACCTCTGAAGGTGTGCTGTGGTGTCTGGCACCAAGATGTTAGCAGCAGAACCTTTAAGTCCTGTAAGTTGTGAGGTGAGGTCAGCACATCTGACA